CTTTCAAACCAACACAGACAGGTTGGTAAAGCTCCTGTGATGACATATGGAAGAAGAAAATCAAAATAGCACAAGCACAGTTTTTTCCAGGGGTGGCGAGCTGCTGCCACTGGGGCCATCCCGGCACAGGACTCAGCCATGCATCACCTCCACTGCCACTATTTTGGCCTGGGCTGCAGCCAGCTCTGCCTTCCTGGCCACCTGTAGCCAGCCACACCGTGGGCAGGAGGGCAGGGGCAGTGCCAGCAGCCGTCATTGCCCATGCAGGGGCAGCAGGGGCCACAGGGCCGGCAGTAGAAATATGGCAAGTGATTCCTTGATGCAGAACCTAAATGAAATCAAACCTCTCGACACTGTGGGATGCTTCCAGGATCTTTGAATTAGTGGAGCTTGTTAGCAGTGGTACCTACGGACAGAAGTGGGTTTTTTTTTTGATGGAGAAGAGGAAGAAATGAGGGCATGTAAGAGAAGACACCACAGGAGCACCAAGGTCAGGGGAGAAGGAGGGGGAGGAGGCGCTCCAAGAGTCAGAGATTAAATTCTTCTGCAAGTCGTGGTAAGGAGCACAGTGAAAAAAACCTGTCCTCCTGTAATCCCTGAAGTCCAAAGGGGATGCAGAGATGCACTGGCAGCCCATAAGAAAAGTGCCAAAGGAAGATGTAATCAGTGGGAGGCCCAAAGAGACAGAGAGGGCCCTTGTTCCTTAAAAGACTGCAGCCTTGGACTAGTGACCCACCCCATTGCAGCTGTGGGAGAGCTGTGCTGCCTGTGGGAAGTGTCACAGCACAAGCTGGCTTTTAGTTAGGCAGTTAATTCTGCCATAGATAAGAAATGCAAATAGATTAGCCTGCTTCGATAAACAGGCCCTTGGGTAAACAATGATAAGATTTATTCAAACAGAGATTTCACCCAACAATATTCCATCATAACCTGCAGATACCTCACTGGTCAGAGAGCTGAGCAGCCTGAACTCCCAACCAATCATCTCTCATGAGCCAGGAAATTTAAACCCTCTATTTAAGAAGGGTTCAGAATAAAGTGGCTTTTGCCACATGGATCACAGAGGGTCGTGTCTTTGTCTCCAACCATGATCCCAGTTAATGCCATAGGAACGACCCCACAGCATAGCAGAGAAAAACCTCCTCTCCTGAACAAACTGAAAAAGATCTTGAGTAACCAACTGACCAAAACCCACCATAGCCAGTCTCCCTGCACTGTTGGTGGGAAGAAAGATGGAATTGGGCTACAGGTGGTGGGACATGGCTGCAGAATGTCATGGCAGCACAGATCAGCTTGTCTCCACCTGACCTTGGGGGGAAGAAAAGCAACGTGGCAGAGGCCCTGCAGATGATGCCTTGGGTATAAAAAAACCAAACAACAGCAGATTGAGGAGTGCAATCTGGGAGGATGGGACTTCATAACCTGGAGCTGTAATTGGACAATTGACCCCAATATGTGAATGGACCAAAACTTACAAAGGTGTCAAAACTCGTGACCCAGGGTCCATCTTGGGTGTAGCCACAGCCAGGCTCTTGTACTGCCCAAGGTGAATCCTTTAAAGATCTTTTAAATAAATCCCTGCTTTATTCCTCTAACTCTGTCCAGCCTCTGTTCCAGGGAGCCTCTCCAGGCATCACAGAGAGGAGCCTGCTGGAATCTGGCAGACAAATGAACAGCACGTTATTTCCCGTTTATAAGGACGTTAAATTATGTTGCTGATGTGGCAACGTGTGCTAGGTTACTTAGTGAAGAAATACCTTATAAAGAAACACTGTGCCTTGAAGAAGTGTACAAACCCAGCCCGTTTCTCACAATAAATGTCTCAGTATCCTCACTGATCTGAGTCTGTTGCTCACAGGAAAGACGGAGGGGCTGAGTTGGGAAAAAAGTGTTTTAAAAGCTTCTTTTATTTCTCATTATCCTCCCCTGACTGTGTTAATGATAAATTTACTTTACACCTTTAAACTTGAACCTGTTTTGCCCTTAGAGTGTTTTTCCCCCCAGTCCTCATCTCAGCTCATGACCCCTTTGTTAATTTTTTTCCTGAAGGAACAGCTTTGGTAGGTGCCTGGCATTTGTCCAGAGTCAAACCACGACACCCATCACCACGAGAACCCGGACGTGAAAGCTGGTTTTTATTGACCGATTGGAACAGTAATATCCTCATTAAAACATCTCTGAGATGTCCTCGGTTCTTCAGAGGGGGCCTTTGCACACTGGGAGCTGAGAAAGGCGGCTCTGCAGCAGCTGGGGAAAGAGCCCTTCCCAAGGACACACGGCCAGAAGGACTCCAGCCACAGGAATTACCAAGCCAAACAAAATACACGGAGAATCCAGAAGGACACCAGGAGCTCACTCTGTGCCAGAGGAGCTGTGAGCCCTGGGGATGTCCAGCCACGGCCAACTCTGTGTGGGTGACCTTGGGAAGATGTTTGAGCTGTGGGACATGGCTGGAGCCGTGGGAGGAAAGGGCAGGGTCTGCCCCTGGTCCACCCCGGGGCTCTCTGCCAGCATTCCTGAGGTGGGACAGATCCCTGTGCCAGGGAATGGGACCTGTGAGAGGAGCAGGGACGGTGCTGGCAGAGGGGAGGGGCACTGGGGATGCTCTGTGCCCTCACTGTGGTGGGGCTGAGACATCCCCAGCTGCTCCATCCCAGCTCCCTGCTCCATCCTGGAATCTGAACATCCCTCTGAGGAGCCTTTCTGGAGCACTCCCACAGCTCCAGCAATGCAGCCCCCACTCCCATCTCCTTCCCCTGATTCCCAGGAAGGTGTCAGCCACGACCCCAGTGGGCAAAGGCCCTGGAGACTCCCACAGGAGCCAGCTGGGCACCTCTCCCAGCCCCTGGTGTGGGATGCAGAGTCTGGGGATCTGTGCCCTGCTCCCACCCCATTTCCCTGGGAATAAAGGCTGGATGGGACCCACAGAGAAAGAATGCAAAGAGGAGACCCAGCAGCAGGGAGGAGATGCCCCCAGGGCTGCCCAGAGGTCACGGGGAGGGGAAGGACACGGAGCTGGGAAAGTTGTGAAGGAGGTTGGGGACACAGGAGAGGCTCCTGCCCTTCACGCTCCCAGCAGCTTCTTGACCATGTATCCCGGCATGCTGTAGAGGAACAGGGCCACCATGATGAGGAGCAGCAGGGCCAGCACGATCTTGATGATGAGCCACTTGTAGCGGGTGCAGATGAGGTATTTGATGGACTTGAGCGGGTTCAGGAACCAGATGAACGACGTGTCCGGGCGGCTGCAGGAGAACCAAACACCCATCATTAATCCCTCACCGTGGAAAAGGGATTGATGGACCTTAGAGCTCATCTTGTTCTGCCCCTTCCCATGGCAGGGACACCTCCCAGTGTGCCAGGAATGTCCAGCCTGGCCTTGGGCACTGCCAGGGATCCAGGGGCAGCCACAGCTGCTCTGGGCACCCTGTGCCAGCCCTGCCCACCCTGCCAGGGAACAATTCCTGCCCAAGATCCCATCCAGCCCTGCCCTGGGGCACTGGGAGCCATTCCCTGTGTCCTGTCCCTCCAGGCCTTGTCCCCAGTCCCTCTCCAGGCCCTGCCAGGGGCTCTGAGCTCTCCCTGGATCCTTCTCCTCTCCAGGTGAGCACCCCCAGCTCTCCCAGCCTGGCTCCAGACTTGGAACATCCCCATGGCCTCCTCCAGCCCTTTTCCAACAGCTCCATGTCTCTCCAGTGTGGGGCTCGGGGCTGGATGCTGCACTCCAGCTGGGAGTAGAAGCCCATAACCCCAAGCCTCTGGTGCAGAGAGGCTTCTCCTACTCACTTGGGTTTCTCCAGGGGATCAGGCTCATTTCGAGCCAGCCCAGCAGGGGATTTCTCAGCCTCCTCCGCTGTCAGAAGGTGCAGCTCGGCCTCGACTTTGCCCTGCAGGGAGCAGAGAGCTGTGCTGGGGCCTGGGACGTGCTCCCACCTCCTCCCCCCAGGCCAGAAAGGTCCCAAGGGAACAAAGCCGTGTGGGGGGATGCAGGGTGCAGTCCCCGAGAGGCAAACCCTCCCTTTTCCCCATCCTTACGGTGATCTCCAGCTCATCGTTCTCATCTCTGGCCACAAATGGCCACCAGCCCTTGACCCGCTTCTGCTTGAAGATGGAGATCATGGGCAGCTCAGCCTCATTGGTCACCATCTCCAGGCTGCACTGCTTGGATGTCTTGGCTCCCCGGGGGAAGCGGTTCAGATCCAGCTCGATGGCCCCTGGCAGGACAAAGGGGAGAACAGAGGTTGGCATTCCCAAAAGGACAAATCCATGGCTGGAGTTGGGCTGGATCAGCATCTCCTGCCCTGAGGAGCAGCTTTGAGCCAGGGAAGGAGAATGGGGGTGTCTTTGCTACAGGAGCAGTGGGGGAAAAGGATTTCAGAATCGTGGAAACATGAATGTTGGGAAAGACCTGTGAGGCCAACCTGTGACTGGACCCCCAGCCCAGAGCTCTGAGTGCCACATCCAGGTGACACCTCCAGGGATGGGCACTGCAAAGCTCCCTGGGCAGCCCCTGCCAAGGCCTGAGCACCCTTTCCACGGAGAAATTGCTGCTGCTGTCCAAGCTGAGCCTGCCCTGGCCCAGCCTGAGGCCATTTGCCCTTGTCCTGTCCCTGTTCCCCCCCTGGCTGTCCCCTGCTGTCAGGGAGTTGTGCAGAGCCACAAGGTCCCCCCTGAGCCTCCTTTTCTCCAGGCTGAGCCCCTTTCCCAGCTCCCTCAGCCTCTCCTGGGGCTCCAGCCCCTGCCCAGCTCCGTTCCCTTCCCTGGACACCTCCAGCCCTTCCAGGGCTCTCCTGTCAGGAGGGGCCCAGAGCTGCCCCCAGCACTGGAGGTGCCCCAGCAGTGCCAGCACAGGGGACAGGCACTGCCCTGGCCCTGCTGCCACCCCACAGCTGGCACAGCCCAGGGGCCACTGGCCTCTGGCACACCTGGGCACACCTGGGCACATGTCCAGCTGCTGGCACCAACACCCCCACGACCTTTCCCAGTCCCTCTTTCCCAGCCTGGAGTGCTCTGTGGGATTGGTGACCCCAGGACCTGACACTTGGCCTTGCCCTATGGATCCAGCCTGTCCAGAACCCTCTGCAGACCCTTCCTGCCCTCTCATCCCACCTGCTCCCATCCAGCAGCAGCCCGAGGGATGCTCTGAACCCTCCACGTACCCAGGAAATCATCGGCAGAGAAGTGGTCGGCATCCCAGACCTGCAGGGTGAGGCGGGCTGGGATCTTGTACTCGGTCTCATCCCAGGAGAACATGGACTCCTTCTTGGAGATGACGATCTTCTCCTCGGCCATCAGGTAGTCGAAGGGGAAGATGTAGCGCCAGTTGAAGTTGCCCTCACCAGTGAGGGAGTGGTAATGGACATCCGTGTCCTGCTTGTCCTCCTGCTGCCCCTTCAGCCACCTGCAGCGTCCAGGGAGGGGGGCACAGGTTTACACGGGGCAGGAGAGGGGACAGGACCACCCTGAGCAGGCAGCCAGGGTTTCTCCAGGACTGGAAGGACCCAAAAGTTGTCAATAAAGGGCTGGGGCTGCTCCAAGGCACTGCAGCAGCAAATCCAAGGGGCAGGAGGGTCACAGAGGGAACAGAGAACTTCAGGAGAAAGACATACGAGGGCCTGATGAAAAGGGATCAGAACGGAGCTGGAGAGGGACTTTGGGCAAGGGCTTGGAGGGACAGGACAATGGGAATGGCTTCCCACTGGAAAACAGGAGATTTGGGTGGGATACTGGGAAGGAATTGCTCCCTGGGAGGGTGGGGAGGGCCTGGCACAGGCTGCCCAGGGGAGCTGTGGCTGCCCTCGTAGCTTTCACATTTTCTATATTCTGTAACTCTGAACTCCATATAAAGTGTTCCCAGTTCTCCTCCCAGCTCAGGCACACAGAACAATCCTTTTCCAGCCCCACAACCAAGGACAGCTGCAGCTCCAGCCCCAAAAAGGGCAAACAGCAGAGAATGGAGGAGAGAATCTGGGAGGATGGGACTGCAGAACCTGGAGCTGGGATTGGACAATGAACCCCAATATGGAAATGGAACAAAACCTATAAAAGTGTGACCCAGGGTCCATCTTGCCAGGCTCTTGCACTGCCCAAGGTGAATCCTTTAAAAGCCTTTTGATAAATCCCTGCTTTATTCCTTTAACTCTGTCCAGCCTCTGTTCCAGGGAGCCTCTCCAGGCATCAGTGGGAGAGAGAAACTGAAGGCAAGGACAAAGTGGAGACGCCGTGTCCGGTCACTCTGACGAGAGAAGATGTAACGAGGACATTGCTGGCACAAGGGGATGTAGCAGGGACTTGATAAATGAAAAGATTGTGTTGCTGTGGGAACAGGGGCAAGGGGGTCCGCGTGGAAAATATTGTGTGGAAGTTAGGGAGCTATAAATACGGGTGATCACAGATTACACAGAATTCACAGAATTCACAGAATTCACAGAAATCACAGAATTCACAGAAACTACAGAATTCACAGAATCACTGGGTTGGAAGACACCTCCAAGATCATCAAGCCCAACCCATGCCCTAACACCTCAACTAAACCATGGCACCGAGTGTCACATCCAGTCTTTATGTAACACAGCCAGGGATGGTGACTCCACCACCTCCCTGGGCAGACCATTCTAATACTTTATTATTCTTTCCCTGAAAAATTTCTTCCTAATATCCAACCTATATTTCCCTTGGTGCAACTTGAGACTGTGTCCTCTGGTTCTGTCGGTGCTGCCTGGAGAAGGAGACCAACCCCACCTGACCACAGCCACCTTTCAGGAGTTGTAGAAAGTGATAAGGTCACCCCTGAGTCTCCTTTTCTCCAGGTTAAACACCCTCAGCCATTCCCTCACAGGGTTTGTGTTCCCAGCCCCTCACCAGCCTCGTTGCCTCCTCTGGATGTGCTCGAGGGTCTCAACATCCTTCCTAAAAGAGGAGGCACCGATGGAATTCCAGGCTGAACTTACCCCCTGACAAAAATGTCGCTGGATTTCTCGCCGGTGAAGTAGTCGTCGTCCTCCAGGATGACCTCGTCGGTGTTCCACACGATCACCCTGAGCTCGTACCTGCCCGGGGGAGGGAAAGGGAAGTGAGGCACAGGAACAGGGAATGGGATAGGAGGGGACGGGGTGGTGCTGCCAGGAACAGGGAACTGCTCACAGGGATCTGTCCCAGGGGTCAGGAGGGCAAGAACAGGAGGGGATCTCAACCATGGAGATGATTACAGGGATGGGACTCTTCCTGTGGGGACAGGCTGGGAGAGCTGGGAATGTTCACCTGGGGAGAAGAAGGATCCAGGGAGAGCTCAGAGCCCTTGGCAGGGCCTGAAGGGGCTCCAGGAGAGCTGGAGAGGGACTGGGGACAAGGCCTGGAGGGACAGGACACAGGGAATGGGTTCCTGCATAGCAGAGGGCAGGGATGGATGGGATATTGAGAAGGAATTCCTGGCTGGGTGGGAAGGGGCTGGGCTGGAATTCCCAGAGAAGCTGTGGCTGCCCCTGGATCCCTGAAAGTGTCCAAGGCAATGGCTTGGAGCAGCCTGGGACAGTGGGAGGTGTCCCTGGGACAAGATGAGCTTTAAGGTCTCTTCCCACCCAAACCATTCCATGATTCCATGATCTCCACGTGAGCTTGGAGCAGCCTCACCAGGGTGAGCCAAGCACCAAGGGGAGCTTTCCCTCCTCCCCTCCCAGCCTCTGCAAGGAGCTTTGCCAAAGGCTCAACGGGGCAGGATTGCCAGGCTTGGATTTTAAGAGATTTCTGACCAAAATTTGGTCTGCAAAACAACCAGAGCCCAACCTCCCGTTTTTCCCTGGGATTGGTTGGCTGGGCTGTTCCTTACTTCTTTGGTTTCCTGGGAGAAATATCGATGGCAGGGCCTGGTGCTGGCATATCCATGGGGAACATGTCCACCCACATCTCCAGGCGGCCCTGCAGGGTGGGAGAGGCACGGTCAAGCTCCCCTTGTCCCTCCTGTCCCCTCCCCACCGGTGTCCCCCTCTTCCCACAGCCGTCACTCCGGCCATGCCAGATGTGGAGTGGGAGAAGCTTCTCCCATGCCATGAATCCTTCTCCACCCCTGCAGAAACGTCTCATGGAAGGGGTGAAACTGGATGGGTTTTAAGGTGTCTCCCATCCAAACCATTCCATGATTCCATGATCTCCACGTGAGCTTGCATCAGCCTCACCAGGGTGAGCCAAGCACCAAGGGGAGCTTTCCCTCCTCCCCTCCCAGCCTCTCCAAGGAGCTTGCCAAAGGCTCAAACAGGGCAGCCCAGGATTGGATTTTGGGAGATTTCTGACCAAAATTGGGTCTGCAAAACAACCAGAGCCCAACTGTGTTCCCACTCCTCCCTTTACTCAACAGGGCTGTGATTCCCCCCCCCAAAACGGGCTCAGAGTCGTCCTCAGGACTCCAGGAGGTTTGGGGTCTCCAGGGAATTCCCAGCACTGTGCAGCAGCCTGGAGGCATTCCCAGTCCTTTCTACTTGGGATTCTGTCAGGAATTTTACTCCCAGGTGCCCAGATGTGGAGAATCAGGCGGAGACTGTGGGATGTGAAACGGATGAGGGTTGATCTGGAGTTTTTCTCTGCTGTCACCCCGGGGTGGGTTAGAGCCGCTGTGCCCCCTTTTGGGCTGCCCCCACGCCCGTTGGAATGTGAGACCTGCTCGATGCCCGGCTTGTCGGGGTTGAGCAGTGGCCGCGTCTCCACGTGCTCGGGGACCAGGCGGCAGCCGGCGCGCGGGATGTCCTCCCAGTGCCGCAGCACCGCCAGCGCCAGGTGCTCGTCCGTCGGCTTCTTCTGGCCTGGGGGACAAAGTGAACCGTGGTTTTTTAAAAAGTTAGAATTTTTGCTAAGGGTAGAAGTAGTTTCCGTGACCAAGATGTAAGTTAGGTAGGTTAATCATTACTAGATGCTTAGGCTAGAGCTAATTGGTATAATTATCTGCTATTATAAATTTACGTACAGAAGAATGTAAAATAAGTAAACTGTTAACCATGAAGCACGGGGCCTTGGATCGTGCCAGAGGGTCACTGAGACCTGATGAAGACTCTGCTGACTTCATCCTTCCAGACCACTGACCCATTTCGAGCCCACCGACCCAATTCAAGAGAAGAGCTGCACACGTGTGAAGGACTGATGGGCTCATTTTAATATGGGAGGGGATGGGAGGTGCTGGGGTTATGCACATGTATTGTATGTAAGATCCTGGGCAATAAATAGATGGCAAAGAACCTTGTTCGGGGCGGTCACACCTTTCTGAGGTGACTCCCGTGCCGCCTGCAGGTGAATAAACATTCCACTTTGTAACTTTAATTAGTTAGAGGGTCTTTGTCCGTGATTATACCGGGTTTTTTTAATGATTCAAAAGGAGAGCTTGGAAAACTGGGACACAGGGACAGCAAAGCTCCCAGGAGCTCCACCTGTGCTCCAAGGTGCAGAGCTGCCTCATCCTCTGCATCCCTTGGGAATATTTTGTCCCTCAGCTGGCACATCCTAACTCCTCTTACCTCTCTCCAATCCCTGTAAGACGTTCAGATCCTCGCTCAGTTTTCCCTGTCTGAACCAGTCCCATGTCTGCTGACCCTGCTTTCCTTCTCTCCTTCACCCCTCCTGGCCTGTCTCCCTCTTTCTTGGGACACAAACCCCCATCTCCCATTGTTTGGGAACACATTCCCATGGATAACAATTTCCTAAACACTGGAAAATTTCCTAAAAGCTGGAAAAGCTTTTAAAAACAGGGTGTCTCTGTTGTTGTTAGTTAGGGATTAACCCTTGGAATGGCTGTAATAAAACACAGGGTCTCCTCTCAGGACAGGAAACAGAGACAGAAAGACAAGTTCATTGTAACACCACCTTGCTTCAGTACAGAGCAGGCAGTGCCTCTTGCACGGATGTTTTCATTGTGAACAGCAGAGTTCTCAAAATGCACGCTCTGCAAACAGCAGCAGGTGCCTTTGCTTGTTCCTGGGAAAACCTCTGCCCCCAGGCCAGCTCCTGGGAAAGCTCCGTGTTCACACAAAACTTTCCCATGGGCAATCCCACGTGTCCCCGTGGCTCTTTGGACATGGACTGCTAGGAGCACATTTCCAGAGGCAGCTTCGGGTGTCCATGGATGTCCTGGAGTGATTCCAAGAGGAACCCACTGGTCTGGAGGGTCTGCAGGGCTCTGTAACCAGTCCCACACTGGGATGACGACTGCAGGGCTGGGTGTGGGATATCTCTCTGGGGGATTTGGACTGGATGACTTCAAAAGCCGCCCTCAAACCTCTCCATGATTCAAACTACTCTGAGATTTCAACCCTGGATGATGAGGAGACTCCCCCAGACCCCTGCTCCCCTCCAGAGCCCCCATCCCATAGGATGATCCCACAGGGCCATACCGTTTTCATCCTCGATCTCTGTGGGGCCAGTGAAGACTCTGTTGGCAACTTTCACTCTTCCCCCCGGCCCAAAGTGTGGCCCATCCACTTTTCCCTCTTTGCACAGCTTGGACAGGATTTGGGAAGGCTTCATGGGGTCACGCCAGGTGTTGTACCCGTGGCTGGGAACAGGAGAGCAAGATCAGCAAAAAAAAAGTTTGGGAAGACCAAGAATTTTTTTTTTCCCCTTTTGCCAGAAAAAGCCCCACTGCACCATGAAGCACCCAGAATTCCCAGGGAAAGAATTTGAGGCAGCAAAGGTGAAACTTCAGAGCAGACTTGATCCCTCTGTGCCCCTTTTCCAAACACCTCCCACCCCACTTTGGCTTGGACCTAGAATTCCCAGTGCATCCCACTTGATTCCTGATGCTTTGTGCCTCCCTGTTTATTCTACTCCTATTTCAGCCCTGGCCTAACTCCTCCCAGTCCCACCAGTCCCTCCCAGTCCCCCCCTCCTGCCCTGGGCTCCTGATGAGCCATTCCACTGCTCCCTAATGCTGGCCACAAAGCCAGGGATAGCACAGACTCCTCCCTTTATCCCTGCTCCTGGCGGGACTGAGCTTTTTTCCTCAAACAAATCATTCCAGGATCAGCAAGCAGCGAAAGGGAGCAGATTCCCATGGGAGCTGTGGGTGGGAGGTGACACAGAGGAGGCTCCAGGTGGGAAGTGGGGCAGGGAAAGCTTTCCCCGTACATGGAGTAGGTCTGGGACACCCCGCAGGTCGCTCGGTGCTTGCTGTAGAATCGATTCTCCAGGTCGATCTTGGTCTCCCCGATGAGGTCGTCAGTGCCCACCAAGTCCCAGTCGTACACAGCCACGGTCAGCATGGACTCCATGGGGAAGGTGGCCTCGATGTCAAAGGATCTGGGGTTGGGGCAAGCAGAGAGAAGCTGCTGCAGGGTCTGGCTGCCACTCAGGACAGACCCCCGGGAGAGATGTGTCTGCTCCAATCCATGGATGGTGTTTAATTTGTTCATCACTGCAGGACGGCTGAGGTGGGGTTTAGCAACCACCAGCTCTGACAGCCCTCAACAGGAAGGAAAATCCTTGACCTGGATGTCCCAACAGCCCTGAAACTGAGTTTGTGTCTTATTCTCACTCAAATTTAGGTCTAAGGGTTCCTACGTGGGTGTTTCACCTTGATCATGTGAATTTCGGGTTCATCTCTTAAACACCCAGCGCTACACTGACCACACGCCGGCAAAGAAGGACATCCTGGAAGCACATCCATGCTGTGGGATAAATCCCATCATTGCAGCTCAAGGAGCAGCCATGGGACACCTCAGTTGCAGATCTGAGGGGTGGCAAGCTCAGCTCAGCAGCTGAGGCACGGACTCACTTCCCAAAGACGGGGTTCAGCTGCTTGGAGATGTAGTTCTCCTTGTCCTTGATGTCCGTCTTGCCCAGCTTGATGGCGATGTAGGGGTCGGCTTTCCCGTTGATGTCAGCTGGGTGGAGATCCGTGGCCTGGAGGGAACAGATGGGAGTGGTCACTGCTGTCCACGGCAGCCAAGGATTTGGGGATGGGGCCGCTCTCCATCCCTGAGAATGCCCAGCCACTTCAGTCCCTAAACAGAGCATCTTGGATTGAAATGGGGATGAAATGGTGTCTTGGATTAAACTGGGGACATCCCTGCCTCGTGTGAATCCCTGTCCTGGTTTAGGGAGAGGGTGGAACTGGCTTTGTCCTGAGATGTCACCACAGTGACCTTTGGAATCTCATCAGAGGCAAGAAAGGGACTCTAAAGAAACATTCCCAGCAAGACATCCATCCCCTTCCCCCTGTGCCCTCTCCATGCTGGATTGTCCCCAGAGAGGAGGTGAAGACCCCAAAATTCTCCAGCCCCACCTCCAAGCACAGCATGGCAGCAGATGCCCACGTGAAAACACATCCACCCAGTCCTGGCTGGCTTTGGGGTTGGTGTCTGCAATTCCAGCCTGGGGATGGATGGGAGACTCCATATCCCAGTGGGAATGGAGATGGAGAGCCAGGCTGGTGGGAAACGGAGCCAGGAGTAGGTTCCATTTGTAAAGCACTGGGACAAGGTGGTGGCACAGGGCAGCCCAGCTGCTTCCAGCAGGATGGAGATCCCTCCCAAGAACCTGGGTGCTTGGGGACAGGGGGATTGTTGGAAGCTGGGAGTTTTGAACTTTTTGTGCTTTTTGACACCGACTCCTAAAACAACACTGCTTTTGACTCGAGGCCTTGGAGAAGGCTTTTAAAATTGAGTGATGGAGTTAGAATCACGGGTGTGTAGTTGAATAGAAATGTGTGATATCGTGGTGGAAGGTTTGGAATGTGGGGTTTTGGAATATAGTAATAGGTATGGGACAAGATGGAGGCTGTTGGGTTCTTGGGCAGTGGCTCTTTTTAAAAAAGAATTTTCTTGGTTTTAGGTAGTGGTTTTTGGTTGGATGGAAGGTATTGCACTGCAGGTCACAGGTGTTTGGTTATTGGGTCAAAAGTACAAATAATATAAATGTCAGTTTTTAATTGGATAGTTAGGCTTTAAAAGGTCATGTAACTAGTAAGAATTACCTACCTTTTCTTGATTTCAGTTTGTTGGCTAGAATTGCTGTAGAATTCACTGTACTATAGGTAAGAATTAATAAACAACTGAGTCTGAACATGAAAATTCCATCTCTTGTGCTTCAATTTTGAGTCTGACTGAAGGCAGGGGAAAAAAAGATGATGAGCCACTAATATTTGGTGATCCTATGTGAGGAAAAATGGGGATGATCAGCTCAGGGGTCAGGAAGTGACTTTTTCCAGAGCTCCTTCCATATATAAATGAAAAACCTGCATTGATCACATCAATGATCACGAAATGCTTGTCCTTCAGAGGGATCCCCTCAATCCTGCCAGATCCCATTCCACTCTTTTTTCCCTGCTCTCTCCCATCCCAAACCATCCCTGAGGTGGTGGTGTGGCCGTGGAATGAACCAAACCTCGCAGTACAGGCTGATCCAAACTATCCGTGGGAATTGAGCACTAGGACATGCCAGGAGAGAGATTTCTGGATCTGCCAGGAGCTTGGACCTGTCCTGTTCCCAGTGCTGGGAGCACGCAGCCCTGGAGACACCGTTCAGGGTCTGGATATCCTGGGATGTCCCCGAAGAATTTGGGATAGTGGGAGGTGTCCCTGCCCACAGCAGGGGGGGGAGTGGATGGGCTTTAAGGTTCCTTTCCAACCCAAACCATTCCATGACCAAGGAGCTGCTTGTTGGAGGGTGTAAAACAGAAACCTGAGTCCCTCAGAGAGAGAAAAGAATGCAGGGATTGAATTAAAGCCTTTAGAGAAATTAAAACATATTAAACTACACAGACATGAAGTAGAACTCCTAGTGTTAAGTAAGAATATACTTTAAGTTCCTTAAGAGAGTAAAAAGCCCTAAAGTCTAGTTTAAAGTTCAGTAGCCCTAAAGCCTAGTTTAAAGTTCAGTAACTTAGCCCCAGACATAAGGAAAACATAGCAGAACATTGCTTGCCTTTCTAAAAAAAATTGATAGAATCATTTACGTGAATCGGTAGAACTATGTGTGTAAATTATGTCTAAGAACTGACATTGCTTTAGTACTTTAGAATTAAGATTCTGATAGGTGTAGAAAGAAGGGTTTAAATTTGTGTTTTTAGCTCATTGGATGATTTATGAATAAAAAGCCCCTGTATTGGGGTGAGACAACACATAAGGGAGAAGGAGGAGGAGAAGGAGGAGGAGAAGGAGAAGGAGAAGGAGAAGGAGAAGGAGAAGGAGAAGGAGAAGGAGAAGGAGAAGGAGAAGGAGAAGGAGAAGGAGAAGGAGAAGGAGA